TGAAAATGTTTAAGACGCGTTCTTGTATGACGCGTATGCGAAAGCCGGTTAGCGACTAAAATCCGCAGGTTTAGAAATTTTACTTGTGTACGAAAGACATAAAGAAACTAATATCAGCTAAGATTATAACGAGAAAATATTTTTACCAAATAAACCTATTTTTTGTTATTAGAATACGTTTAAAGTTTAAGCTAGTTCTCCGATAGTGGTTTTTTAACTCTGTGATCGACTTATGATTTTATGCTTCGAATAAAGTTCGTAATTTTTTTAGATCTCATTATGGTACTCATGAACGGAGAATAATGGTCACTAATAACGCATATAAACCGCCTTTGCTTAATACAGCGGATCCCAAAGTTGAGTACGTTCTGACAAAATAAAACAAATCCATTTATAAAAATTAAGAAGTTTTCATATAAATTTAATGAATATTGCAAAGAAAATAATCCAATCCGAATAAACAACAAAAAACATTAATATTTTTTTTTGTTGCTATATTTTGTCTCAGCTCAATATTAGCGACCAATCGTTTGGGAATCTCTGCCATCGATTTCTGCATGTAATAAAATATATTTCAATTATGCACGAACCTTTATGAATAACCTTTGTTCAAACGGCATGTTCTTATATTCCCGTTTTCGAGGACATTTATTTCCTACCCACTTTGTTGAAGGCTTATCCTACATACGTAGTAACTTATAGCTCTTCTGTTGAGATGGTACGATACTTGATCCTAAGTTGGAAGCGAGTTTAATTTTTTAACTGTACTTCACGCCAACTGCATACGTATTTAGATTTGCCGATTGCGAATGTTTGAATAAAATGTTTCCAATGATTTTTTCGACCACGGCACACTCTGATCTTTGGCTAACTTCAAGAGTTGAAGGCTTCGCCTGTTTCGTAAGCCTGTTGTCATCCAATCAAATTACCGGTATTTTTAAGTATCGTAGTAAGACTGCGATCTCGTGTAGGGGAAGGTATACTGCGGTCATAATTACGCATTAATCGAGTACATTTAAAATTTATAAAATTCTTCCAAAGCTTTTTTGTAATATATTTCTCGTGCTAACATATCTGTCAATAATGTAATGATTAGTAAATGGTACGAATTGTGCGTAAGTCGATTGCACTGCCAGTATATTCTAATTTGAAGCTTGCTCTAGGAGTGTATAGTGGGCGAAATGTCCACAATGTGAAGGATAGGAATGGCCCGAGCGTGTCTAGACCGCTGGGTGTTACACACATACATAACTGTACATATAGATGCTGTATAAATATGTATATTGTTAACGTATTTACGATTCTTATGGTACTGAGGAGCATCTGGTGTGGGTGTAGCTGCGGAAAGGAAGGTGCCTGAGGCCTAGACTCCAATTATGTAGTTGCTCCATTTTCCCATCTGCATCCATGACTTTCTGTATGTGTGTCTTTGTTAAGGACACGGTTGTCTTAAATAGTTAAGACTATAATAAAAATAGTAACATCAGCGAGTTGTTTCTTTCTAACGAGTCTTTAAAAAATCCATTTCCTAACTCCCTTCTGATCCTTAATATTTTTAGGTTAAGTAAATGATAACCTCAAAGCCACTAAGATGGCGTTAAAAGTTTAAAATATTTACACTATTTATTTTCTTTAGATAAATAAGTATTTAGTTTTTGTGTTATGTAGCTAGAAATACCTTTGAAAAAAACGATTTCGATCAAACAGTCTACTAAAGTACCACGATATCCAAGAAAACAAAGTAAAGTTTTTGTCTATACAACGTGTATAGGATACCAATCTTCAAGTCAATATCTTCGTGTTTGTATTGAGTAGCAATTCAATTGTTAATTGAAGGCAGACTCACAATTCTACAATCCAACTTTTATGTGAGAAATAAAAGTATTTAATAATAACAGAGTATTTGCAACAGGGATGCATTGGCTCCGTCGCCCACAAGATCCAGCAAAGCCTAGTCTTTTCAACAGACGGTAAGTTGTTAACTATTTATACTAAATAGGCATATAAAGTTAAATAATATTAGTATAACGCAAGATTTGTACAAATCAAAGGGAAGTAATTAATCATGGTTTGAATGAAAAAGTGTGGGATTATTTGAATACGAAATCCTCTTGACTGAAAAACATGGACTGATGTTATTTCAAAAGATTTAATACAATCACTTGAATTTCAGGAGGCAATTACCACGGACTCGGAGTTATAGATTGAAAAAAAATCGAACAAGTGTATACAAGCTACATGATAAGTACGGATTCACTTAGTTAAGGCGTCATCGCAATATACATTGAATATTGTAATTTAAAATGTAGGCAATTTTCGTAAAATAAAATAAAAAGATAAATAAAAATAGATAATGCCGTTTAATTTCACTTACGTGATCAATATTACAGTAATGTACAATGCAACGGCACAATAAAATTGAGTTAAGACAAGATATAAAAATACCAATTGTAAATCAAGTTAATTTCTTAATAATAATCAATGTTAGCAACACTGGCGTGACCTTACTTATCTTATCATTTGTGCAATTTGATATCTTTATCTTTTTGACGTTTTGACCACTCCACTCTACACTAATCGCGTAAACTTCGCGTAAACATAAAGCAATAGAGAAATATTAACAAAAGCCATATTCTTTATTTATAACTGTATAGTGTAAAATAACTTTAAATAATATCAAAAATATGGAAGGAATAGAGTTAAAAAGTTTGGACGAACTTATAAGAAACAATCTCTCGGGAGACGATTTACTGGAATTCAACAGAATACATTACGGAAGAACAGACAATCGCGAACTTAAGATTAAAGATAAAAGTCTTCAATATGGGAATGAGAATAATTTCGAAATATCATGTTATGATTTTCCCGCAAACAAAGAGGAAATAAGAAAATCCCGTGTTGTTAAAGTTGGCTTGATCCAAAATTCGATTGCAATACCCACGCATAAACCCATAGTTGAGCAAAGAGCAGCGATTTTCGAGAAAGTTAAGAAAATTATAGAAACTGCAGGAGATGAAGGTGTCAATATTATTTGTTTACAAGAAGCTTGGAGTATGCCTTTTGCTTTTTGTACCCGCGAGAAGCAACCCTGGTGCGAGTTTGCTGAATCAGCCATAGAAGGCCCCAGCACAGTATTCCTCAAAGAATTAGCTGCTAAATATGGCATGGTGATAATCTCGCCTATACTTGAAAGAGATGATATTCATGGTGACACTATATGGAATACAGCTGTTGTAATAAATGAAATGGGTAAAGTTATAGGGAAGCATAGAAAAAACCATATTCCCAGGGTGGGTGATTTCAATGAATCAACATATTACTTTGAAGGCAACACAGGACATCCTGTTTTTGAGACAACTTTTGGAAGGATAGCAATCAACATTTGCTATGGACGGCATCACCCTCTTAATTGGCTAATGTTTGGGGTAAATGGTGCTGAAATTGTCTTCAATCCTTCAGCTACAGTAGCAGGTCTGAGTGAACATTTATGGGCTGTTGAAGCTCGTAATGCAGCTATTGCTAACAGTTTCTTCACCTGTGCTATAAATAGAGTGGGCACAGAAAGTTTTCCAAATGAATTTACCTCTGGAGATGGCAAACCTGCACATAAAGAATTTGGTCACTTCTATGGTTCTAGTTATGTCACAGCTCCAGATGGTTCCAGAACTCCAGGGCTATCAAGAATCAAAGATGGTCTATTAATAGCACAACTTGACCTTAATATTTGTCGTCAAATTAAAGACAAATGGGGCTTTTGCATGACACAGCGTTTAGATCTTTATGCAAATTCTCTTAAAGAAGCCATAAAACATGACTTTGTACCACAGAGACTTCCTAAGAACTAACAAAATAACATTTTATATGTATATTTCAAATTAATTGTTAAAGTTTGGACTATTTTTCTTACTAAATATGGCTGTACAACTTTTACCTTTTTATGAATCTATATTTTTTTATTACTCTTTATTTTTCTTTGTACTATTGTCAAATTATGTAAAAGTAAAACTTTATATAACTTTATATAAGTAAAACTTTTACCAAAAAACATAATTTTTACTTTGCCCTGCTTAGCCCTAATGAATGCAACATTACTGCTTTAAGATGGCTTTTCTTAACTATTTCAATGACTAGTAACTATACAAAAGAATATAAAGTAGTATCGAAATTATGCATTCTATATCTGTATTGACCTGTCCTACCAAATTGTAAACTGTCTGATAACAATCCAATGTGTAAAATATGTGATGGAAATATCAGATTTTGTTACCTAATCTGAAAGTGACAACATTTTTAAGCTATCTGAGTATCAGCCATTAGTGGTACAGGCCCTTATAGTTCTTACCAGAAATAGAGTTAACTCTGGGCTGGATCCCATAAATAACAACTTCATCCATTTAACCACATGGTCAGTTGGTATTTGTTATATTATTGTATGTACAACTGAGAGTGATTCAAATTTTTATGTATTGTATTGTTTGTTTCACAACTTTATGTAAACATAACACAGAGACATTTACATACAAAAGTCAATATAATTTTTTATTCCTGTTTTTTTTTACAAAATAAAACAAATTTATATAAAAACAATGTGTATTCAAGAGTAATACAGATGTTACACTAATGTATTTATATGTATAATATATAATAGTTATTGAGAAGGGGTACATTTACTTCAGGGACAACACAACTTCAAAGTTCTAAAATAAACTCTCAATTAAATGAATGAATTACCAACTATTCTTGTTAGTTGATCCAATTTGTATCATAAATACAGGAACAGGCACACTTATTACTTCATTTATTACAAAATTTACAATTGAAAACAAAATTTTGCTCGGTCCCACAACTCAGATTTTCAAAACATCAATGTACCACACAGAATTGTTTTTAAATAATCTAGATAAAATATTTTATGCAATTTTTGCACGAATTGCAGCTCTCTTGCCAGTTACGGCCTGGAAACCAGACTTTATACTGGCCACGGAGCAACGTGAGCCACATGTCTCACACTGAAGGAAGAATAATCTGGTGTCCTTTTGCAATATTGTATCCGGCGAGCGACATGTGTGACACGTTACATATTCTTTAATATACCGACGTAATACATTCTCTATTTGTTTCTGCTGGAAACGACCCTTAATGATCAGCTGACTGTTACCATCAACAGACCCACTGGTACCCAATTCAGCCAGTAAAAAGTCTAATAAATGTTTTGGCTGCCTGTGAAGGGTTTTGCAAATTTCTGTAAAGTTTGCAAATGATGTTTTTTTCGTTCCAATTCTCACAACTTGTGGTGGTCTCATAATGAACTTCTGTTTTTTACCGGATACCATAGCCGGGTTTTTCTCGCGCATAATGTCGAATACACGTTCAAGGAGTTCATCATAAGTATAGTCACGGTCTGTGCTGACCCAAT